TATATATATATACATATTCGTCGACTATGTAGCCAAATTAATATTTCTAAAGATATCTGATATGACGTGTTTATTTTGTTTAAGTGATTCGTTTAAAATGTTTTTCTATAATAGTAAATAATTTAAAATCAACGGTAATAAGAAAAATTAGTTATATATTCAAAGGTACTTGAAATGCACTTCAAGAAGAAGATCATGGATACCCACACCCATCATGACGTGTTAAAGTTGAGCTAAGTTTCTCCACCTAAGTTAGAAATGTTAGTATTTGAAGTTAATTAAATACAGCGGCGTAAAGCAGATCAAATTTGTTGAAATATAATTCCTTCTCGTCTTTTACGATTCATCATTTGCTAAAGTATTTTATTGTAACCATGATAACATTTTTGTTTTGTGTACCTGGCTGCATAATTAGTTTGTTTATGTTGGCTTCGTGCCTGACTTGGTGTTAAATAAAAAATATACAGAGAAATAATTTAAATCTCTGTGAAAGAATTTAAAATGTGCCACTTAGAAGGATTGATACTTGACGGGCTGGGCTTACTCGAAATAGAATGGATTGAACAGCTACTAACGGAAACAAATGCCAAGCATCAACAACCAATCAGTATCGAGATACCCACACTATATCCTTTTAATGGTACTGATTTGTTTAGGAGAAACTTAAAAAATAGCCATTCTATTCTTGATATCATCGTTTTTTAATTAATTTAGGTCATAAATGCAAATTGAAATAAGGGTAATAAGCCATTAGTACAAAAAGCCAAAATTCATAGAGTAAAAGTGCTTATTTCTTAAGAAGAACCCTAAAAATTTTGCCATTTTATTATTGGCGACAATGATATTTAAAAAGACTTGATAATAACTATTTTATTTGATAACCGATATTGAAAAAGTGACCCAATTTTGAGTTTACGTCTACCAATGTTGATACCAATCTAGAAGGCAAGCAAACCTCATTAAGCATATACGTTTCACAAAGAGCAAAACCACAAAAACATTTCACGGTTAGCCTGACGGCAAAGGGACTCTAACCCATGATTCGTCTACCACTGAGGATATTTTATGTCAGCACTGTGGTCGGTGCGAACCGGTTGCGGAATTCAAATCCCAGTCATAGCTGGAATTCGAACCAGGTTACCTCATTGAAAAGCGAGCGCTCTCTTCTCTAAGCCACCACGAGTCTGAATGAGTAGTCCCGCAGTGGACTGATCGTTAAGACACGGTTCCCAGCAGATCACCGAAGTCAAGCGTCACTGGATGAGGTCAGTGTGCGGGTGGATGACCACTTGGATTAGTCTGCGTAGGGACCGAGGGTGTGGGATATGGGTCCTCGTTAAACTGTTCTACCGTAAAGTGCTCGACTTCGTGTGCAGGTCGTCAGACTACCGAAGCGGGGGTGCCATCCCCTTTGCAGAGGATCAAAATTGTGATGGCATGTCTTCGGATTATCCTCAGGAATGTTTCCCAGACCGTCGCCAATAGCCCATTGCGCAGCTCTAGTGCGACTTAAATGAACTACAACAACAACAACTGATAATCTGTAATTAAAATAATTTATAAACAAAGTTTATTTAAAATTTATTTATTTTAATTCAAACATACTATGTATTTATATTGAAACTAAAACTATAGATTTAATTAATAATTAAGACAGTTTAAAATAAAAATGAATTTACGGTAGTTAGTGTGAGTGTTACTGAATTTTGAAGAATTACAACAAAATATTCTCCGTATTAACATTAACATTTCGAAGAATTAAAACATGATAATAAAAAATAGCTTCCCTAATATTATTTTATAAATAATAAATAAACAATTATAAACAAAGTATATTCTCCATTTTAAATATTCTCCATTTCGAAGAATTAAAACACGATAATAAAAAATAGCTTCCCTAATATTGTTTTATAAATAATAAATAAACAATTATAAACAAAGTCTATTTAAAATTTATTTATTTCAATGCAAACATACTATGTATTTATATTGAAACTAAAACTATGGATTAAATTAATGATTAAGATAGTTTAAAATAAAAATGAATTTACGGTTGTTAGTGTGAGTGTTACAGAATATTGAAGAATTACAACACAATATTCTCCGTATTAACATTAACATTTCGAAGAATTAAATACAATAAAAAATAATAAAAAGTAACTTCCCTAATATTATTTTATTAATAATTCATGAACAATTATAGACAAAGTTTATTTATATTTTAATTNATATTGAAACTAAAACTATGGATTAAATTAATGATTAAGATAGTTTAAAATAAAAATGAATTTACGGTTGTTAGTGTGAGTGTTACAGAATTTTGAAGAATTACAACACAATATTCTCCGTATTAGCATTAACATTTCGAAGAATTAAATACAATAAAAAATAATAAAAAGTAACTTTCCTAATATTATTTTATTAATAATTCATAAACAATTATAGAGAAAGTTTATTTATATTTTAATTATTTTAGATGAAGCATACTATTAATATTGAAACTAAAACTATAGACTTAATTAATAATTAAGATAGTTTAAAATAAAAAGGAATTAATGGTAGTTTCCCTCTATCCTTAAGAGTATAGAAGTTGAAACATGCTCCAATTGCATTAATCATGTCCATGTCTCTTTTAATCAGGGTTCGTGTTTTTTTTTTTTGTTGCTTTTTTTTAAAAAATCATAAAAATTAGATTTTTTTGATTTAAATTTGATTTTTTTTATTTAAATCAGATTTGTTTGATTTTTATTCAAATACACTGCAAGAACTTTATTTCATAACTAAAAAAACTTTATAAATGTTTAATCAAAATTAAATTAATATTAAAAATATATTATAAGAATATTTTAGAAGCTCTAACTACATAAAACAATATTTCATTATAACACATAGCTTTTTTATGCATAGTAACCATTTTGAAACAAATGCATGATTGAAATTTAAAGAATTCTTTAATTTTTAAAACAAAGCTTCAATTACAAAACCATAATTTTAATTTAAAATTGTGATTTCTTTTTTTTTTCTTTATTACAAAATAAATGTAACAGATTGTGTTTATTAATGTAGTCATTCATAAAAAAAATAAATAATCTATATATTTTTATATTAAAATATTCATTTTTAATCTTATACCAAAATAGATAAGTTAAGCTAAAAATAAATTTTAAAAATTCTATGTACTCATTGAATTTTTTTCCCACAAAATTTCTTTATAGAAAATCTGATAATGTCAAAGATACTGTAAACATAATATAAAAAAAAAACTCCAATGTTTACTTTAATCTCTACTTTCAATCTCAAGAATCAAAAGATTTTTAAAAATATAAATTCAAATGTTTTGGAATTTAACACATACCAAGAAAGAAAGTAATTTTGTTAGCTAAAATTAATTGATGCAGCAATCTATTTAAAATTCATTTTAAAACTTAGAAAAGAAATAATAAAAGTATCAATAATTTAAAACACTGTTTTTTTTAACTTTTTAACTCAATATATATCAGGGTTGGCAAGTTTTTGACACATGACGGTTTTTACCGGTTTATACCATGGTTTTTACCATCATGTCAAAAACCCCTCTGTCAAAAACTGTCAAAAACCCATAGTTTGAGTAAAACTGTATTTTTATTTGAGTTTAACTTCTTATCATTTAAAATTAATTTATTTTTGGGCAATAAAATTAGAAAAAAAGTTGTTAAAAGATATTTAAGAACAGGTTCTTGCATTTTCCCAACATGATTATATCAAAACATACTATTTGAAGTAAAATATTAGGATACTAAACAAAATTTTCAACATTTCCAAGCATCATTTTGTTTGTCATATTACATTACTGAAGAATGTCAAGTCATTCTTGACTTAGAGTTTGTTAGTAGTTACAAGTTTTGAAAGTTTTGTTTAGCTTATTTCTAATATTTAAGAAATGCCAAATTTTAAATTCTTCTTTTTAGTTCTTGAATTTATTAATAGTTCCAAGCTTTTTTGTTTGTTTGTTTATTTCTAACAATTAAGAAATGCAAATTTTTGAATCCTTTGCAAATCAAGCTATAATGATAAAAGCAAGTATCACTATTTTCAATAAGTATATTACAATATTTCTGCATGAGTGTATATCCTTCTCTAAGAATGCATGTATATAGTTGCAAAATCAATAGCAATCATTTACAACATTCATTTATAAAGGCAATTATGTGAAAATAATATATTGTCCGCTATATGCCATAAGTTAAAGAAAACAGTAGGTTTTTGACAGTTTTTACCGGTAAAAATACGGTTTTTACCACTGTCATGTCAAAAACCAGTTCTTGACGGCAAAAACCCAACCCTGAATATATATAGTATATAAAAAATCAGTTGATTTAAATCAATGATTTTTTTAATCATTTGATTTAAATAAAGCAGATTTAAATCAACAAACCCTGCTTTTAATTAAACGGATAATTTCAATTGTTTCAATTAAAAGGGAATTATGCTGTAATAAATAAAATGAAATTCTCCTGGAATGATAAGTAAATTAAACACTAGACTAACAATATTTTGCAGAAAATAAACATAAAACTATTCATTCATTTGTTTATTATTCAGAGTTCTCCCTACAGGTGCCTCACACTCTGAGTTTTCATATCCCACTGTTAAAATTTATCAAAATATGGTATCTGCTACACTTTAGATTTTCAAATTCATGACTTTCCATCACTCATTCCAAGAATTTTTCATGACTTAACGTTAACAAGTTACTATTTTCTCCGAAAAAAACACAACAATCAATTTAAAAAAGCATTATACAGTGAAACCTGATGAAATGTGATTTTTCTGTTCTCATTTTTCGGAATAAAAAAAAATGGATAAAATAAAAAATAAATAATAACAAAATTTCTGAAGTTAAAAAGATAATTCGTTCTATAAATGATTTTTTTTCTTTCATTTTCCGAAATAGCACCCTAATTTTTAACGAACACGATAAAAACATTTTATATTTTAATAAAATATGACTGTGAATGGGGATTTTGTTACAAATTCAGATATTCGGAACTACATGAAATTGGGGGGGGGGGAGGTAAATTCCATTTTAAAAATTAGACTTTTCATCGACCTAAATCCGTAACTTTCCATGATTTTTTTTAAATAATAGTTGAAATCCTGGCGAATTTTTTTCAATACCGAAATTCATAACTTTCCATGATTTTTCACGACTTTTCAGGTGCGCAGATACCCTGTACGTAATATTATTTAATAACTTAATTTAATCCGATAATTTTTAGATTTACCCTCTTATGCTATTTTATGTGTATATTTCACAAAATAATTCTCATTCATTATCAAAATAACAGAGAAATTCGAAGCTTTTGAAGAATAATTAAAGGCAAGCTGAAAGACAATCTCTTTGTATAGATTTTTTCAAAAAAAAGTAAGCTGTGTAATGGGTTAACAACTTTAAAGCTTTTTCTATAATTTAAACTGAAAATTACGAGAAAATAAACATTTAAAGGTGCATTTTTAAGTAAAAGGTATTTATTTAGGAAAAACTAATGGTAAAATTTAAAACCACTAAAAAAGTCATTCAATCCCTTCCCCCGTATAAAAATTGTGAGTATCTCTGGGGACCAAATATCATGCGAATTTTAACTATATAACTAGACTACAAAAGGGAAATCTTACTGAAATAAATGAATCAAATTACAAATTGGAGCTAAATAATTATTAGTCACTAAATAAAGTGGACTTATAATTAAAACAGTTGGTTAAGAAAACAACTAAGAAAATAAAGTAAAAAGGCAGGGTTTTTAAGGGATGACGGCTTATTTTTACAAAAAGGCACAAAGGGCGCATTTAAAGGGTTCAAGGGCAAGCGGGGCGGACAGCCCTTCTAAAAAACTTTAGGCAAAATACTGTATTATTAAAACATTTCAAGAGAGTCACTCAGTTGAAATATTCCTTAAAACATCAAAAAATATTCATTTGTGAATTATTTATAATCTTAAAAATTATAAAGTTATATTGTAACTTTCATCATCGATGATTTGAGGCAAAAATTCTTTTTTTTTTTTTCTTTTTTGTTGTTGTTAACGATTTTTGAATTACAGGTCATTTCGATTAAATTTAAATTGGACATTTATTTCTAATGAAAACGTAAACATTATCTTCGTTTGTTTATTCGTGATAAGTCTTTTGATTGAAAACAACAAAAGAATTTGTAATTATAAAAGAAATTTTAATTATTTGCTTAAAAACTTTGAATGACACGTTGTTAAATTTAAATAAATACCAGTATCATTGTTACACAAGTTATGGAAAGTAAAAACATTGTTACTTAATTTTTGTCATAAGCCTTCATTTTCTAAATCATAATGGGGTCTATTTTTTTTGGGGTTATTTTTTTTTTCTTTAGTGAGGGCTTCGAATGTAAATGTAAACAAACCACACCCATGCAACTTGAGACAAATTCGAACAATTTTGGTAGAGTTCTTAAATAAAATATTTTTAAAAAGGCCTAAATTTTAACGACAGAAAATATATATAAAACTTTGCTTGAGGTATTTCATCCCTAACAGTCTGGGTGCGCCGCGCAGGTAAGGTAAAAAAACGCTCACCTGTTCGAATCGAACAGACGCCATTGTAAAGGGAGGGAACTGCCGGTGAATAAGTTTTCGAACATTTAGTAATTAATAAATAAAAATCTTACCGTTTTTGATTAGAAAGATCACACCTAAGGCTGTTATTACAAATAATATCCCAGCCTTCATTGTTAATTCTTATTAGCTAGGCCGTTAGCATCGAACTTCATAAATCCGTTACCATAGCAATCAGAAACGAAGCGATCATGTCTACTCTATGAAATTGCGTCACCTATTAAGGGACCGTTTAGGAAGTGCTTAATATCTTTTTTAGGTCAACGTTTTTGCCAAGTGCTTCAACGCTAGTTAAGCTTATTTAAGCTCTTCAACATTATTTACGGTAGAAACAAACAAAAAAAAGAATTTATTTTTTCTTTTGTAAAATGTGATTAGTAATTGATAGAAATAAATGAGGGTCTGAACTTTTTCCAAAATTAAAAAAAAATTTCATTTTTTATATTTTTATTGATTTACTCAATTAAAAAAAAAAGGCAGTAACAGTCACATATTACAAATGAAAATTTAAGTAATTGATTACCTTTTTTTCAAATGTGGTTTTTCTTCATTCTTTATTTTTGCTCCAGACATTGTTTCTAGCACTGCTTAATATTTCAGCTTTAGAACATAGTTTCAGCATTTTTTACTTTGAGTTTATTTCGAATAGCAACAGCGAAAAATGGTGGGGCAACGAAATTTAATTTCATTGGATCAAATGGAAATCTAGTCATCTGTAAAAGCTTATAAGACAATATTTTCAAGTTCGCGATGATCCCCCATATTTTGAGAGTCGCAAATCTAACTCCGTCGAAAAAAATGCTTGTTTATTAGAAAGAAGAAAAAAAAGAGTACGTTAATGCGTAGTAGTTAACACAGATTTGCGTACCATATTTAAGATTAGGTTATCTTTTGATCCTTTTGGGGCTTAGAATAATCAATGTTCGAATCTGTAATCCAGAAGACAGAGGAACTCTTAGATCAAGTTAATTCTGACTGTTGATTATTCGTGGAGGACTTTTTCTCAGAAATCATGTAACCTCACGGCAATCTTGTGTCAGAATTTTATTGTCACCAAAATGTTCGCATTGAAAACCTTTTTTCAATAAAGCAAAAATATTGCGGTTTTGAACCTTTTATCCTAAAATAGTTGAAAATTATACTTAAAGTTCTTTTTTAAAGTATTGTTACTTAGGTAAAATGGTCACTTAGTTTTTTAGCTGACGTTTAGCTGACGTTTTTTTGTCCATTAAAATTTCATGACAAGATGGATTTTAGCTGAGCATACAAGACGTTGCGAAAAGAAACCTTATAATTATCTGGATTTAAGATTATTTTCACCTTGAGACTAGCTTTATTCAAGGATTTTTTTCACGCTTGAAAACTCTAAGTCAACCTCGATTTAAGGTTTTTATACAGAAGGTTGTTTTCCAAGGTTTTGGATGAGGGTAATGTGCGTAGAATAGAGCAGATAGTCGCAGATCTCGTTTTAGAGTTGGAAGGTTTATACATAAACCGCATAAAAACCTTTTAAGATTTAGATTAAAAGGTTTTTGCTGAGTGAAAATAAACCATATTTTGCTATCTGGGTTGATGGAACTAACCCGTTATTTGAGTTACATGGAGAGGAAAACCTCCCACTGTAAGCCCGACTAGCAAGGGGATTCTAACCTTTGATCCATCTAACTAACTCAGTGGCGCGACAGCCCATTAAGAGGGCCAAGGCCGATTGTGCCCATCTCAGTTTTCTTGACCTTGGGCTCTGGGGTGCAGGAGCATATGTTCCGGTCAGGTGGTCAGCCGAACGCGGAACCCCCAGTGTTAGTTCCCAAGCATGCTTGGTACTCATTTTATCGACCCACTGAAGGGATGAAAGGCTGAGTCGGCCTTGCCCGTCCCAAGGATCGAACCAAGGACCTGTGGCACGACAGCGCGAAGCGCTACCGCTCAGCCACCGGGCTTCTTGATCCATCTAACATTGAAGATATTTTACGTCAGAACTGTGGCCGATGGAAGAGAAATCGTGTCGAACATGGCTCACTTTATTGAGAGGCAATCACTCTATCTAGATCTAGAGAGCACATCTATTTTCTAGAAATCGAAAGAGTTGAAATTGTCATTTGCTTAGAGTTTCGGTTGAAAGTTGAATAAAAAAAAAAATAATAAATTCCTTATGCTGAAAATAGGGTGATTAACTCTGCTTGTGACAGAGTTGGCATGATTTAAATCACTCGATTAAAATCACAATTTAAATCACTTGATTATTTTTTTAAAAAAAGTCATAGGTTTTTTTTAAAAATTATCATTCGTTGAAAGCAAGTGATTTTTTTTTAAATAATTAGTATAAGACTATGACATTTTTAGACTTTATAATTAATAATTCTATTCTTTTAGTTGCGATTTTTTGAAGTCTGATTGAATTGACATTGAAGGTTTTATACTAAGAAAGAATTTAAGTGGGATAAATGAATCAAAATAAACTAAAGAAAATTGAAAAAACGAATGATATGAACAAACGAATTTTAAAAAATTTTAAAAAAAACCTTAAAAATGCAAAAATTTCATGTAACTGTATGTAAAATAATTTGTTGTAATAAACATATTTCAATTATACTTATTTAGTTCTTATGTTTTTTTTAAATAATACACAAGTTCTTTCAAAACTTATTAAGTGACGTACTTACAAGTGCTTTCAAAACTTATTAAGTGACGTACTTACAAGTGCTTTCAAAACTTATTAAGTGTCGTACTAACAAGTGCTTTCAAAACTAATAGCATATCAATAATGAATAAAGATTTGTTCTACTCGTAGAAACTTGGTATTAATTTTTCTCCTTTTATGTTTTCTGGTCTAATCTAATTTACTTTTCATTAGATATCTAATTGACAAATTGTCTTCTTCCTTTCCTTAAAATTCTACAGAATGCTGAGTTTGAATAAAAGTAATAATCGTTTTATGTATTCATTAATTACTTTGGAAAAATTAAATATTTTTAACCATTTTACTTAGAAATAATAACTAGTTTAACGTTAATATTGTTTTTAAAACACAATTATAGGTATTATCAAATAATTGTGGCTTGGTTGAAAAATGTTTAAAAAAAATTATTATTATTATTATTTGATTTAAATAAAAGGATATGATTTAATCGATACATTCGATTCATTTATTTTTTAAAATCATGATTGCTGCCAACCCTAGCTTGTAACAAGAATTTAAGTGTTCCATCAAATCGGAAAACGGCACAAATATTGTTTGCAAACTTTCAAAAATATAAAACTTATTAAGGGGTAGTTCGAGATATCTAATTTTAAATTAAAAAAAACTATTCATAAATTATTATTATTATTGAGTCAATCTAAAAAAAATGTCTTTACCTTACTGTATCTCTTCAGATACCATAATAATTTAATAAAATATTCTTAATAGCAAAGTGTGACTTCTTAATTCGAAGGGATATTATTTAATTTGGAATGTTCCAGTAATTCCTGGTGTCAGTTAGAAAGCGGAAATCGACACAGAGTCACGAGATATCTCAGTAATTATTATTTGTAAAATACGTATGTCATTTCCGGAAAGGAAATTGCTAATCGGATATTTTAAAAAAATCAAAATCAAAATAATATTTTTAAAAACCACGTTTTTGTAGTGCAGAATAATAATTAAAAAACAAAAATTGGAAAAACGTGGGGAGCATGAAATACATAACAGTAACAGTATGTGTGCTCATGAGAATATGTGTATGTATATCTGTAATTGTATCTGAATGTGGATGTGCATGTGTATGAGTAAGAAAATGTGTATATGTACTGTTATGTATTTCATGCTCCCCACTTTTTTCGTTTTTCAAATTTTTGTTTTTTAATTATTATTCTCCTCTACAAAAACGTGGTTTTTAAAAATAGTATTTCGATTTTTATTTTTTTATTTTTTGTACTCACTACCAAAATCTCAAGTTTTTCACAAAACTTTTCAATTGACATGTGACACTCATTTGAAATAATCGAATCGACAACAATCGTGAAAATATTAATTTTTCTTTAATTTTAATTTGTTTTGTATGCCTTATTTTCTCTTCATTTTCATGCATTGTCATCCAATCCTGAACTATGTGCCAAATTTGAAGTCTGTAGATAGTCGGGAAGTTAGTTTAAAATCAATTACAATATTCCACCCGAACAGACATACACGAAGACAAGTTGATATAAACTTGGTAAAAAAGAAAAAAAAAGGAAAAAAGAAAGAAAGAAAACACTTCATGGGACGTACATATTATATAAATTTATACCTTTTTTTTTACCATTTAATGTCTTTCTTATAATTAAGCTAGTAGGAAAATCTCGAGAACAATGTATTGTCATAAAATTTAGAAAAGAACCGCAAGAAGGCTTTATTTTTTCTGCAAAATGCTTTCGAATAAAAACGAATAAACAGTATTTTATAAGTATTTCAGCTTAATATTAAGCTAAGGTAAAATAGATAAAAGCATGCACCCTTTGTGGTAAGCAAAATAAAAAAAATTTTTAATGAAAGCAACAACAATAATAACAGGTATAAACAGTAATAAAATTATTGATGACCTAGAATGTAATCATTTTAGAATACATGATTTTAACAGTATTAAAATTAATATTTTAGTCATAGTAGATGATTTAAGACTACAAAAAGAAAAGCTTTCATATTTTTAGACAAAAAAATTTCACCATACGGGCTAAGCCAGGCATTCACAGATTAACTTTAATAATTCCTCTACTTTCTCACTTTTTCACATTAAAGATAAGCGTGCAAATCTAGGTAAAACGGGAATCTGATAAAGCTTCTCTTTATTAGATGTAAATGTTTAATGTAAATTTATTACTAAACAGGAAAAAGATTTTAATAAAAATTACAGTAGTAAACCAATGAAAGATTTTGCTTTCTCACTTAAAGATAATGGTGTTTATAAGCTTCAAAATCTTTTCTTTTAATAATTTACACTTTAAAAATTCGTTGTTCTGATCTTTGAAAAGCCAAAATGAGTCAAATTTCACCTAATCAAAAGAAAAATTGAGATAACTTATATTCTATTCAAATTTCCTAATATACTTAAATTTCATAATATATTTGACAATTTAAAGAATTTGCTTCCATTAAAAGATTTTAGCATAAATAAAAACTAGAAATATAATAAAACTCTTAATAGAACTATTTTTCAAATATATTAGCAAAAATTTAATGAAAATTTATATATCCGATCATGAATG